GTGTGTGTGGGGGGGGGGGGCAGACGCACGTCTGAGCCGTGCGCTGTTTGTACCGACAGTATTCGAGTGGCGGGTGAGGGTTCAGCATGAAGGAAGAGGCTGCCTTTAGCTTTTTAGCTAGTGCACCTGCATTGCGAGCCGGTGGTTGAGGGTGGGGTTCAGTAGACGGGGTGCTCGGTTCTGTTGATGGGGCGGGGCGCCCTGCTTGTATAATGGTAGGGGAAACACTGGTATCTACACTGCCTGGCCAAAAATAAGTCACCACCTGGATTTAACTGATCAAACAGGTCCGAGCGTCCTGTTGGATAATTACTGCATGAGTGATTATCTTTCAGCTGCAACAAGTTATTTAACTCCAACTGGTGCAATGAGTTGCTTCTCATTTCTTAAACAACCGTGTGGAAAGACTCATGGCGTGGTCGTGGAAAAGATGTCAGTCTGTTTGAGAAGGGTCAAATCATTGGCATCAAGCAGAGAAAACATCTAAGGAGATTGAAGAAACTACTACAGTTGGGTTAAGAACTGTCCAACACATTATTAAAAACTGGAAGGACAGTGGGGACCCATCGTCTTCCAGGAAGAAATGTGGCCGGAACAAAATCCAGAATGATCGTGATCAGTGATCACTTAAATGTTTGGTGAAATGAAATGGAAGAAAAACAACAGTAGCACTCAGGGTTACGTTTAATAGTGAAAGTAAGAACATTTCCACACGCAGTGTGAAGGAACTCAAGGGATTGGGCAGGTGAAGTGATGCACCCATCATGCCTAGTGTCTAGTCATCAGTGCAAGATCTTGGTGAGAAATTAATTCAACACTGAGAACAGCTTTTTACATAAATCATTCAAGTACTGTAATTTTTAGACTATAGAGTGCACCTGAATATAAGCCGGGCACATTAAATGAATTTTTTTAACATATATAAGTCGTGCCTTTGTATAAGCCGCAAGTCACGCATGTTGTAACAGGAGTGGCAGCACAGCTACTGAGAGAGATGTACAGCTCTTGTTGTAGATCAAGAATCAACCACCAGATGATGTTTTATAGACTATTTTTCTTTTTAACACAAACTGAATGAATCCCACACGTCTACATGATAAGTAATTCTCTCACTCGTGGTTACTATGGTGACCCTGAAGTTCAAACCACAGCTAAAGATTAACAAATGCAGCTACAAATGTTACTGTACTGAATGGCCTAACACAAACTAACACATAATGAACACACAAACTAGGCGAACATGAACAGACTAATCACTAAAAGAACAATGCTAAACAGCTAATTGAAATGATTAACAATGAACCAACCAAGTCCAAGCTCAATAATCCAGGTATTACTGGTAATACAGTATAAATAACTGTATATGCAATCCCAACGGTTTTCAGTCAGGTCATCTGGACAGGTTCTTTTTTTTTTTTTGTGCTGAAACGTTTCACATTCCATCCAGAAGGCTTCATCAGTCAAGGAAACACACAACACAAAACTGATTCTTCCCCCAACAGCTTACTTCAAAGTGGAACAAACCAATTATGTTGGTGCTAAGATGGCCTCTTTGGCACGGCCCCTGTTCCGCTGCCGGCCCTCTCCCTCGTCGACAGTCATGTCAAACTGGCTCAAAACCAACAAAGTCCATGCTCAATAATCCAGCTATACAATCCAACATTTTTTCAGTCAGGTCATCTGGACAGTTTCTTTTTTTTTTGTGTGCTAAAAACGTTTCACGTTCCATCCAGAAGGCTTCATCAGTCAAACTAACAATAAACATAAATTTTACCCATCATCCTCCCTGAGGTCATTTTTTTCAACCTTTACTTAGACAGGTAATCTCATTGAGCCTCAAGGACTCATTTACAAGAGAGACCTGATTTCAACAAAGAATGATGACAATGGACAACATGACAACAATAAACAATTATAAAAAGTCATACTGCAGGTTTTTTTTTTTTTTTTACAAATAGGATGGCTAAAAGAAAAAGGTAACAAAAAAAACAGCTAGATTCTAAGGCGAATGTAGAAAACTAAAAACAGGAACATGTCTGCATTGGTCCCTGCCAGGAGTCCAACAGATTCTTAAAGCCACTTAGAGAGGTCAAAGGTCGAGAGCTTCAAATCTTTTTACAAGATATTCCAGGAAACAGGAGCGGAGTAGGAGAAGGCCCTTTTGTCTAGTTCAGTCCTCACTGAGGGAACACTGCAGGTAATAATGTCCTGAGAGCGCACTCTGTAGCTGCACTCACGCAGAGACATGTAGGAGGAGATGTATGAAGGCAGCAGACCAAGAATGGTCTGGTCATGTGACCAGCAATCTACCACAATGAACGAATAATTGAGTCACGAGGACTAGGGTTGGGCATCGTTTGAATTTGAGCAATTCCAGTTCCTATTCTTCGTTTTGATTCTGATTCCTATCAATTCTCGATTCCTTTTTTTTTCTTTTTGAGGCGGGGTTAAAAAAGACATTTCAATTCAATTCAGTTTATTTATACTGTATAGCGCCAAGTGACAACAGAAGTCGTCTCAGGGCACTGAACAGAAACAATCAAATATAAAAATAATAAGTGAACAGAAACTTTCATATAAAATAATAAGTTAGCACTATTTATCTGAGGAGCAGACTGAATTTTGAATTTAACTCCGTCATGTTATGTTATGGTTCTAGAATTGCGCCGCTCAAGGTGGCTGCATGTTGGAGCAGCTCTGTTACATTCATTCTGAGACTTTGCTTTTGGAAACATTAATTTCTCTTTTTCTGGATGTAAATCACATTTTTTTGGATGATTGTTTCCTCTGGTATTGGATGCTGTGCAGCTGGAAGGATTTTTACTGAAACTTTTTTAGTTTTGGACATTTTTTATGATGCGTAACCATGGCAACAAGGCAGTTTTCTACAACCAACAGCAGCTGATTAACATCTCAAAAGCTCAAATAATATCTCAACTACAGCCCCAAATCTCATATGAGTTGAAAAGGATGTTCTGTGGACGCATTCTCATCTACCTGCCAGTTGTGCTCAAGTGCCTGACCACTGAGATCCTGGAACTAGCAGGAAACACGGCTCATGACAGCAGAAGGACAGGATCGTCCCTCGGCACCTACAGTTGTCTGTCCACAGTGACGAGGAGCTCGGCAGACTGCTGGGAGGAGTGGCCATCGCTCTGGGAGGAGTTCTGCTCGGCATTCAGGCGGTCCTAGAGCCCGGGGGAACCGAGAGGCCAGCCGAGTCTGGGTGGACGGATCAGACAACATCTGCAGCCAGTTTCTTAGGATCCACTGTGGGATGAACCTTTATAGGAGATCCTTCCAGTCTACAGCATCAGTATCTTTAACATCTCTTAATGAAATGAGGATAACGAGTTACTACAACAAATAATTTCCCTCTGGGATTAATAAAGTATTTTTGAATTTGAATTGAATTGAATTATAAATGAGCTACAGTAGCTAGCTAGAGTTCTTTCTGGAT